TACGCAGACAGAAAAGAAACACCCTCTCTCTGCGAGAGCAGAAAGACAACAGATAACAAAGGAACAGGAAACCAGTAACATCACATCCGTCTCCTGTCTTCCGTGAGACTTCCATCAGCCTGGAATCTCTGGAATGCAAAACAGAGTCTTGTGACTCCAAGCACTGCACAGTGGCATAAACAGAAACCAACATAAATAAATATTACTTTATTATTAAGCATTATGCCACTCCCATTGCAGCCATTTTGTGACAGGCGCCCACGGCACTTTGTCCCCTCTGGGCCCAAAAGATTGGAGACCTACAATGTAAGAAAGAAGCTCTCTCACTCTTCAAAACACACAGAGAGAAAGAGTGTGAACAGGAAATGGAAGGGGGGAAACCACATGCAGGAATAAAAGGCAAAGCAATGCCCCCATTGCAGCTGCAGAAGCCAGCCTGGGAGTTGGGGCAGAGGAAATCCCAGGAGCCCATTGCTACCAGTCAGAAGAGGAAAGCGATATTTGCAGTTTACGGGTGACTTCTGCAAAGCGAGTGCGTCAGTGTGGGTGTGTTTATAGAAGCAGTCTATCTATTGCAGATGAAACCATCGTCTAAAATGCAGTAGCACATTGAAAAGTCACTACTACAGTCTGACAGACCCAGACCCTGCCTTCCAGGAGGCCCCAGGAGGCCCCAAGGAGAGGAGAGGCGCTTGTGGGATTTTCCTGCCTCAGCTGCCAAAATAAATGGGCTGGACACAGGGATGGGTGAACCAGTCTGTTTTGGTTTCTCTCCGTTTCTCATTTTTCCAATCTTAAGTTCAATTTTCCACGGCAGTTCATGATTGCTATTATTTTATAATCCTCACGAAAATCCATCAGCCTTTTAGCGCACATAATCCTAATACACACATTTATTTATTTTTTGGCAAAGCACGTTTTACCGAACACAATGCAGTTTTCTTTAGTACGCTCACTGATATATGCATTTTTCTGCACGCTTTACCTCAGCGTGTGCATTTTTGCACACGTTACGTGGCTGGAGAACTGCGCTGCAAAAACCAGGGAAGGGCAGATTTCGAAGGATGGCTGTGTTTTGGTTCACATAATGTTCTCAAAGTGAGAATTTGGGAATGGGAACTGAATTTAATTTCTCCCCCACCCCAGCTGGAGAGAGGGGGGCTGCCCTGTCCCTGGTCTAGAGCCTTCTTGGGAGTGTGGGAGTTCCTGCTAAGGCAGAACTGCTCAACATCCTCCACTCTTGCCTTCAGGAGAGGAGAAGAGAAACCTTCCCATTTGGAGCAGACGTTCTGGTTTTAAGCTGCGAATTGCTCATTTAACGCAAATATTTAAAACGTGTGAAGCGCCCAAATAAACTTTTGTTACAGAACAAATCCAAAGAGTTATTTCACACCACCAGAATCACCTTTTCTGTCCTGTTCCTCCCCATAAGAACCGCCTTGTTGGACGGACATCGCAGGCCAAAAAAAGCAAGACAAACGTATTGAATGCACTAGCTAGCTGATGCTTTGTAATTTCAGGCTGGAGTGAAGGAAGTGTGCGCATCATGTTCCAAGCCTGTCTACACAGTGGAGCGCATGGCAATCCAGAACGTTCCTCTGCACCACGCATGTTTCTGCTGTAAGCACTGCGGAAGGAAGCTGAGGTGAGACATGAGAATCCAGTGAGGAAACCACGGGGTAACAGGTCACGCTCAAAGAATGCAAAGATGTATCAGGCCAAAGACCCATCTAGTCCAACTTCCTGTTCCAACCAAAAGCCCATTATGGGAAACCTAGAACCTGAGTCCAACCAGATGCCAATTATGGGAAACCTAGAACCTGAGTCCAACCAGATGCCCATTATGGGAAACCTAGAACCCGAGTCCAACCAGGTGCCCGTTATGGGAAACCTAGAACCTGAGTCCAACCAGATGCCAATTATGGGAAACCTAGAACCCGAGTCCAACCAGGTGCCCGTTATGGGAAACCTAGAACCCGAGTCCAACCAGGTGCCCGTTATGGGAAACCTAGAACCCGAGTCCAACCAGGTGCCCGTTATGGGAAACCTAGAACCTGAGCCCAACCAGGTGCCCATTATGGGAAACCTAGAACCTGAGTGCCACTTATGATTCTCAGCACCTGGCATCCAAATATGTTAAGGGTGTTAGGAGAGGAGTAGTACCTCTGGTGGGGTGCATGTCATGTTCCTTCTGGGGTAGCTTATCCACCTTTGGTCCCCACTCAGATCTCACCATGTGGCTCCTAGAAGCTGTCCGCATGAGACAGCGGCCACATCCTGGGAATGGCTTTGACCGGTCAAATAAACCAGGGGAGGGTAGCTGATGGGACTCAAACCCTCAGTGCAAAGACAGGCTCCAGTGGATTGAGCATACGAGACCAATAGTGGGTCCATCGGCCAAGAAGGGGGTTTCTGCAGGTGCTGTAGAGGGAAGTGAGAGGCAGATGGGGCTCGTCCACCTGGGAAGGGAGCCTGTCTAGGAGAAGGAAATATCTGATCCTAAACCTCCACTGCCTTGTGGGATGTCTTTGGGAGAAGAAAAGGCTCAGGACTAAACCCTACACAAATCCAGAATGGAGTCCCTTAGGCAGTTGGATGATGTCTCCTTCTGGCAACTCCTGCAGCCAAGCTGGTGTCAAACGTCTTGCTCTGCTTTTCTTTGGACCACATCAGCCAGGCCAAGAGGGGGATCTTGTCATCTGGGCAGCCCAGGACCTCCATAAACACTGCCCAGGCTTGCACTCCAGGGAGGTCACTTGGATGCTGCAAACTCAGCCGTTTGACTTCACCCCAGGAGGTGTACTCCATTTTCTTTTGAGACAGAAGGATGCCAATAGCAACTGCTTCTGACAGCAGAGGTAAACAAAGCCATTACTGCTGGTACCCACCAACAGCACATGTGTCTAAATTTATTTCAAAGCTTAAAGTAAAGGTAAAGGGACCCCTGACCATTAGGTCCAGTTGTGACTGACTCTGGGGTTGCGGCGCTCATCTTGCTTTCAGGCCGAGGGAGGCGGCGTTTGTCTGCAGACAGCTTCTGGGTCACGTGGCCAGCATGACTAAACTGCTTCTGGCGAACCAGAGCAGCGAACGGAAACGCCGTTTACCTTCCCGCCAGAGTGGTACCTATTTATCTACTTGCACTTTGACGTGCTTTCAAACTGCTAGGTTGGCAGGAGCTGGGACCGAGCAACGGGAGCTCACCCCGTCGCGGGGATTCGAACCGCCAACCTTCTGATCGGCAAGTCCTAGGCTCTGTGGTTTAACCCACAGCGCCACCCACGTCTCATTTCAAAGCTTAGATGTGTCTACATTTATTTCAAAGCTATTCAAGTTACTACCCAGCATAGCTGCAGCAGCAGGGCAGGAGATGTGCCTTTTCCCTTCTTCTGGTGACCCCACTGTTTCACCCCTTCCCCATTGTCCCTCAGACTGTAGCTCATTTATTTTGCCCCACTGAACTAAATGGGGGCTATGGATAATTCAGGCAGCTCTGATCTGCATAGCCCCACCCCTTCATCTGCATGGCCCAACCCCCTTCATCTGCATATCACCACTTGGCTTGTTCTTGCGTGACGCAGTGGAACTCTGGGAAATGATGAGTGTTCCTGCATACGCGACAACTGTAACCATTTTCCTTCTGTATGTCTTGCAGCTTAGCCAACTATGCCACCTTCCAGGGCACATTTTATTGCAAATCTCATCACCAGCTGCTTGCTGGGGTTAAAAAAAGGAGCCAAGAGGAAAACGCCGGCGTCCGTCAAAGAGATCAGCAGCTGCAGATAGCCGTGCCGCCAAGTCCAGGACTGGGGTCCAAGAATAGAAATAATCACCCAGGAAAGCTCCTCACCAGAGAGAAAATGCAACCGCCATTTTCTGGTTTGTACTCTCAGGCTAACCTGAGACCGCCTAGGCAAGCCAGGCAAGACAACAAGCCCAGAACTAGCTGGCCCCCTTTAAAGGAAGCGGCTGGGAAAGAAATAGGTCGAAAATATGGCAGCCCTGGACCATTGCAAGATGCCGTATTGATTCTGCCATGCCGGAGTGGAGCAGATGGGAGCCGCCGCGAGGCCCCGGGAGGCAAATCGATAGCAGAAAGTGCTCGGGCGGAAAAGAAGCAAAGCCAATTACCCAGAGTCCCATTTCCAAAGCACGGTTCGCACTGGATTGAAACAGCAGGTGGGAGCGGAGACTTGAGAGTATCGGGGAAGAGACAGTTGTTCACGGGTGAAAGCATCCCAGGAGCTCAGGGAAGGAAGAACGGACTCAGCATAGCAGAAAGGGCTGTGATGTTCCAAGGCAACCCGCTCAAAATGAAGAGGAGCGCTCCTGTAGTCTCACCTTTAACATCAACCCCTCTGGAGTCTCCTTCTTTTGGTTCACTGCCCTCCCGTTCAGAAGCACTCAGAACTAGTAAAGCAACCTGTTTTGCCGCTTCAGGAGTTACTGTAGCTGATGCTTCTAGTCTTGCAAAAGGTTCTCTCGGGGGCAAGAGGCTTAGTAGTGGATCTTCCTCCAGCACAAGTGCATCCGATGAAAGGCGTGCAGATCAGATTTTGCTAAGAGCTGAGCTTCTTCCTAAAGCCAGGATTCCACTGCCTGCTTTGGCACCAGCAGACAGCAGACAGAAGCTTCCAGAAGCCAGCAAAGGTAACGTGTCAATCACTCTGGCGTGTGAAGAGGCTGGACAACTGAGTCACATCAGCGCTAAACCAACAGAGGTCCACAAGCCCTCCCAGGCAAAGGCTGAATCCTCAGTATATCTACCTGAGCACAAAGGTGAGCAAAGCAATGATGAGGAGATGTTGGGTTCTTCTCTTGATTCAGTGGAGACAGGCCTGGCGGCTGACCAGGTAAGTGAGCATTCATGGAAAGTCAGGATTGAATTCCCTGAGAGAGAAAAGCAAGCGGTGACAGACCCAGCAAGCTTGCAAAGGCCAGAAAACCAACTTTATCCTGAAACCCACAACAGTAAAGGAGGCAGAGAATAGAAGGGAGAAAGGAATGCAGGCAGGAGGAGATTTAGAGAGCATTGAGACACAAAATGGCATTCTTCAAGAGGTCTCCCAAAATAGCAAACCTGAGGAAAGAGCCACCACTTTAGACGAGGAAGCAGAAATAGAAGGTCATTCAGCGTCCAGCTCACATGCAGAAGACGCTAAAAAAATGAGTGTTCCACAAAGAAATAACTCACAAGACTCCACTTTGACGTCCAACACAGCACCATTCACTCGTGAAAACCTGGAACCAAGTGACCTACTTGCAGAAATAGCCAGCACAAATGAAGTGGTACCAGGGAAGGCTAGCAGTGACAATAATATCCCGCTTGAGGAAGAAACTTTCAGAAGGACCATCCTTCAGGATTCTAAGCTTCAGGTCAAAGACCAAGAAACATTCGACTCCTGTGAGGTCCCACATTTGACTGAAAAGCAAGAGATGGGAAGTACAAAGGTGGTTATGAAACCTCAGAGCGAAGATGGCTCAGGTGCGCAGGCCATCTGCAGAAAGGAGACCACCAAGGAGTCTGCTAGAAAGCAAAAGGAAAGGAACCCTTTGGCTCGACTTTTTGCTTCCAAAACTCAAGGCAGAGCAGGCAAGCAGGAAGAACCAGCAGTGACTAAGAAAGCACTTAAGACTCAATCTGCCTTGGCCACGCTGTTTGGATATTCTTTGGAGAAAGACAAGATCCCAAAGGCTAAACCCACAGTGAAAACCAGCAGTGAAGAAGGATTATCACTTGTATGTTTGTCAAACTTACCAAAGTTTGGCACCTGCAAGGAAAGTGAGACCTCAGGTCTTATTCAAGCAAAAGGTTCAGAAGCAGGCCTTCAGGATCCAGAGGAGAATTATGGAAGCCACACAAGGGATGGGCAGAGAGAAAGTTCTCCATCCTTGGACAGTGCCAAAGCCTTCAGTGGTGATGCGCTTCCTATAGAGCTGAGCACAGATATTTCGAGTACCGTTGAAGTGATGTCTGGAATGAAGGGTCTTGAAGTTCCCAAACAATCCAATTTGCAAATGGAAACAGTGCTCTCGGACAACAAGAAGTCCTCACTATTTTCCAGCTTTCAGGATTCTCTGGCAACTCCTACAGAGAACCCATTGCAATGTTCTACGAGCTCCTTGATGGAAACAAAGACAGAAATCACCTCTAGAGGTGATCCCTATGATCAAGATCTACAAATCTTCCCTAACCAAGCTGCCATGGATGCTCAGTATTTAGAAATAAAGGCTGAAAATGTTTCTTTATTGGGCCCTTCAAGAGAAGACAAGGCTCAGTGTGACTATCAAGTTCCTGACATGCTTCTATTTTCTATGGGGGTAGACCGATCAGCAAGCATGGATGGAAGTGGCCTGCAGTCCATCTCTCTTGATCTGGACACAGGGAGCATGAAAGTCAAAAACGAAGCTTGCTCCGGTTTAAGCGCTCCAGAAAACATCTCAGAGGTGAACAACCTGCACCAGTTTTCAGAATCTGAGCCCATTAGAGCAATCACTCTTAATAACAACGACACTCCAGGAACTGGAAATTCTGAGATGTTTCAGAACCCACAATCCTGCCTTGAGCTGAGTGAAGATGTTCTCCTCGGACTCCATGTTGAAAAAGCCACTGCTGATGGTTACTCCGCTGGAAAAGTGGACATCCCTTCATTGCTTGGATCTCTCCAGCATATTCCGGAGCTCCTTAGAGATACCATTCAGCGTAACACTGAAGGAAGTGCGGCTGCAACAGAACAATCCCCAGAAGAGATGATGTCAGCAGAGAAGAGTGATGGGTCATCAGGAAGCCTTCTGTAATGCATCTTGAAGTGCAGTGTGTTCTACTCACAAGGCAAGGTTATGGGGGCAAAGTCCTAGCAGAGGTGAGTCTGTGGCTAAGAGCAGCAACCAGCAAAGTCCGCTCTCTTGGGTGCTAACTGGCTTGACTGTCCATAATTTCCCAGGTTAGAGACTGGCAACCCAAGAGAGCCACCGCCCCCCAAGGTCAAAGGTGCAATCCAATGACCTTTGGCCTACAACTCCCATCAGCCCCTGCCAGCCTGACCAAAGGTGAGAGAATATGGGAGTCGGGAGGTGGAAGAAGGCTGGGTTTTTTTTACACTTCACGGCTCTGTGACTCTAGGAAACTGTTAAAGAACACGTTATCTGATTCTCTCCACGTTCTCCTTCCCCTCCACCCCACCACCTTCGTTCAATCAGCCCCAAACTCACAAACAACCAATTTAGTGCGTTCCCAATTGCCTCCCCTCCTGCTCTGGAAAGAAAAAAACCCTTAATGAGCATCACTCTGCGAAAAGGAAATTGCTCTCTCCGACCCTGGAGGGAGGTGAAAAATTCGTTTACTCCTCTTTCCCTGTTCTTAAAATAACTCATTGCAAGATAGGAGGTCTGAGGATTAATTAGATTTCACTTTGCCTGGGATTGAATCCCAAGGAATTAGTAACACCACCAGGCAGTCGAAAACATGCTTAGCATCTGTTTTTGGGTACCACGTTAGCCGTCCGTTTTTTTCACAGTAAAGGAATAGCATTTTCTGCTCCCTTTTCCTTAAGACTGAGGAAGTTTCATTTGGGGGGAACCACACTTGGAGTCTCGTTGTGTCAGCAAAGCAACGACCTATTTTTTCCTTACAAAGGAAATGCTTCGCCAATACGTGGAGTATGGCTTGCTTAAGGATTTGTGGATGTTTGGGATATCATTAGGTCTGATGTTGCAATGACTGAGAAAATTTGTATCTCCCTGCTTGATGGCAATAAAGACAAGAAATACGTAAAAATGTGTTTGATGCTAGGGGGGAACCCACACAAGTTAAATGCTTGCACAGCCATTCAAGGAGTACATGCGCCATCCCGCAGGCAGGCAGACTTCAGCATTTTGCCTTTCCCATTCACTTCAATGGAGGGGCTCCATTCAAGACTCTTGAACTGGAAAGGCTCCAAGTTGGCTATCACTTCGCAGGCAATGGTGCCAGGAGAGCAGAATCAGAACCGCACATTTTAACTGAGAAGCACCTTTTGCATCATCTTTCCCATTCAGTTGGATCAACATTGCTGCGGCTTCGCCTCCTCTAGAACAGGGGTCAGCAACCTTTTTCAGCCATGGGCCGGTCCACCGTCCCTCAGACCATGTGGTGGGCCGGGGACTATATTTTGGGGAAAAAATAAAAATGAACAAATTCCTATGCCCCACAAATAACCCAGAGATGCATTTTAAATAAAAGCACACATTCTACTCATGTAAAAACACGCTGATTCCATTTAGAAGGCGATTGGGCCGCATCCGGCGCCTGGGCCTTAGGTTGCCTGCCCCTGTTCTATAGCTATGATGAATTTCTTACGACTTTCTGGGCATAAGCAAAACCACCTTATTCCTCCTTTTCAAGGGTTCCTGCCAGATTTCCAGAGTCAGTGGCGGGTGATGGTTAGAAGGTCAAACTAGGTAAAGCTACCCCTGCCCATACGGGCCAGTCTTGACAGACTCTGGGGTTGTGCGCCCATCTCACTCTATAGGCCGGGGGCCAGCGCTGTCCGGAGACACTTCCGGGTCACATGGCCAGCGTGACAAAGCTGCATCTGGCGAGCCAGCGCATCACACGGAACGCCGTTTACCTTCCCGCTAGTAAGCGGTCCCTATTTATCTACTTGCACCTTGGGGTGCTTTCGAACTGCTAGGTTGGCAGGCGCTGGGACCGAGCAACGGGAGCGCACCCCGCCGCGGGGATTTGAACCGCCGACCTTTCGATCGGCAAGCCCTAGGCACTGAGGCTTTTACCCACAGCGCCACCCGCGTCCCGGTCAAACTAGACTAGGGTTCAAATCACCACTCATCCATGGAAGGCCTTAGTCACTCACTCTCTCAGCCTGGCCTACCTCACAGGGTTAGCGTGAAGATAAGAAATGGGGAGGAGGGAGAAATTGAAACACAGAACATCAGAAAATAAGGACTTTATTTAACATATTCTTTCACCTTCTAAATTCAAGCAGTCACTCGATGAAAAGTGTACAACATGGAGTGTTTATTTGTGCAGAGAGCTACCAAGGTGTTCTGGGCCAGCCGATTGTTCTGGCTGCTGCGGATTAAAATTCTGGATCCAAAGGACACTTTGCTGGCTCTTCATCTCTCCTGAACGCCGCCAACAATGACCTCATCGTTTGTGTCACAGGCATGTCCTAATGCCCTGGGCCTTAGGTTGCCTACCCCTGCTCTAGAACTTCCACATCTTTGGTCTCATAGTTGATTGTTCTTATTTGAAATAGATGGCCGCCTAAGGTTGCCACCGTCTTTTACTGGCCCTGCTCCTGCGCCTTTATCCAAAGTCTGGGGCAGAGAAATGGAGCAAGCTACTCTTTCAGGGGACGCGGGTGGCGCTGTGGGTTAAACCACAGAGCCTAGGACTTGCCGATCAAAAGGTTGGTGGTTCAAATCCCCGCGATGGGGTGAGCTCCCGTTACTCAGTCCCTGCTCCTGCCAACCTAGCAATTCGAAAGCACATCAAAGTGCAAGTAGATAAATAGGTACCGCTCCAGTTGGAAGGTAAACGGCGTTTCTCTGCGCTGCTCTGGTTCGCCAGAAGCGGCTTAGTCATGCTGGCCACATGACCCAGAAGCTGTATGCTGGCTCCCTCAGCCAATAAGCGAGATGAGTGCCGCAACCCCAGAGTCGGCCATGACTGGACCTAATGGTCAGGGGTCCCTTTACCTTTACCGTACTCTTTCAGGAGTAGAGATAAGTCTCAGGGAAAGCTTCCCCTGATAAATTTCTATGCGCCAGGTTAAAGCCGCATGCGGTTAAAGTCACAGGAACAAAGCCAGCACTCCTATGATCAGCCATTAAGCCCCTTCACAGTAAAATCAACAGGATGGTGTGTGTAATTGTTGTTTTCTTCTTAAATCGCCTCTCTTGGCAGAAAGCCCATCAGCAATTTGATTGCCCCTTTGGACTCCGAAGTTTATCGTTCCTCTGTTAGCAAGTTGTGCATTAACTTCAGAGCCATGGGGACACAGAGTGTCGGTGCAATTGCCTGTGCATTATGTGAAGGCAGCATGGCGACCATCCATATTGCTTTTGCCACATTTATGTCTTAAAGGTAAAGGTAAAGGGACCCCTGACCATTAGGTCCAGTCGTGACCGACTCTGGGGTTGCGGCACTCATCTCGCTTTACTGGCCGAGGGAGCCGCCGTACAGCTTCCAGGTCATGTGGCCAGCAGGACTAAGCCGCTTCTGGTGAACCAGAGCAGCGCACAGAAACGCCATTTACCTTCCCGCCAGAGCGGTACCTATTTATCTACTTGCACTTTGTCGTGCTTTCAAACTGCTAGGTTGGCAGGAGCAGGGACCGAGGAACGGGAGCTCACCCCGTCACAGGGATTCGAACCGCCGACCTTCTGATCGGCAAACCCTAGGCTCTGTGGTTTAACCCACAGCGCCACCCGCGTCCCTTTTACGAATGCACAAAGCTGCCTTATCGCTGCTTCCGTGCCAGATGATGGGCACGTCTACCAGCCCAGTAATGTCTATAGAATCTGACAAACCACACCTCTCTAGAGTTTCAGGGGCTCTCTGAACTGCAGCAAAACTTTATTTTTATTTTTTTAAATAACCTGAAGGTTGAAAAAGGGACTTGGTGGATGTACAGAACACTTGTCACCCAAAGAGCTTTCTAACTGCAAAACCTGGTAACTGGGCCTGGAACTTGAAGCATTGCAAACAAAATGCGTGTTTATCTCTT